CCCATTGGCCTTCTTGGCCACAAGGGCACACTGCTGGCTCATGTTTAACTTGTTGTCCACCAGCACTCCCAGGTCCTTCTCGGCAGAGCTACTTTCCAACAGGTCAGTCCCCAGCCTGTACTGGTGCATGGGATTATTCCTGCCTAGGTGCAGGACCTTGCCCTTGCCTTTGTTGAACTTCAGGAGGTTCCTCTCCACCCACCTCTCTAGCCTGTCCAGGTCCCTCTGAATGACAGCACAGTCTTCTGGTGTGTTAGCCTCTCCTCCCAGTTTAGTGTCACCAGCAAACTTGCTGAGGGTGCACTCTGTCCCTTCCTCCAGGTCATGGATGAATATATTGAACAAGACTGGACCCAGGACTGGACCCAGGGGGACACCGCTAGCTACAGGCCTCCAACTTGACTCTGCGCCATTCACCACAACCCTCTGAGCTCGGCCATCCAGCCAGTTCTCAAGCCACCTCACCATCCACTCATCTAGCCCACACTTCCTGAGCTTACCTAGGAGGATGTGATGGGAGACAGTGTCAAAAGCCTTGCTGAAGTCCAGGGAGACAACATCCACTGCTCTGCCCTCATCTACCCAGCCAGTCATTCCGTCATAGAAGGCTATCAGATTGGTCAAGCACGATTTCCCTTTGGTGAATCCATGCTGACTACTCCTGATCACCTTCTTGTCCTCCATGTGCTTAGTGATGACCTTCAGGAGGAGCTGTTCCATCACCTTTCCCGGGATGGAGGTGAGGCTGACAGGCCTGTAGTTTCCTGGTTCCTCCTTCTTGCCCTTTTTGAAGACTGGGGTGACATTGGCTTTCTTCCAGTCCTCAGGCACCTCTCCTGATCTCCAGGACCTTTCAAAGATGATGGAGAGTGGCATGTCCTGTGGCATGTCACCATTGTTGCTGAACAGATGTGCACTGCCCTTGGTTTTTGGTTCCTTTCTGTGCACCCTTTTGCACTAACTGCTGTATGAACTGCTGTGTTCCTTGGCGCGCAGACAGAAGAAAGACTAGAAGTAATGTCAAGATGGCCCCCTTAAGGCAAGCAAAGTTTGGTACTAAAAAGGGAACGTGTAATTTTGATGAGAGTCCACAGGGTAATAGTAATACAGCTCTATTGGCTATGTTGGGAAACACAGAGAACATTGTTTTGTGATGTTTCTGCATGCCCTTTTACCATGTGCAAGAGCGATGTGGGGGGACGGGTGTTAAGTCCGGTAATGCTCATGTATTGTTTGTTCTCTCCAGTCTGCTGTGAAGAGGCTATGAAGGCCACTTGGATTTGCTATGGAGTAGCTCAGCTTCTGCACTTCGGTGCGGGGAACAGGTTCAAGAAAAGGCCAAGCAGTTTGCAGTTGGCCTGAGCAACTGCAATTTAGGCTGGCACATTAGCCTAAATTAATTTATGAGTGAAGACCCTTCCCTCCCAAATGAGACAGGTATAGCTGCCACTGTGTGAGCTAAGCTTCCCTAGCAGAACAGGAGGAGATAATGGAAACCAAAGAAAGTCTCTTTGGGAAGGTACCAAAAGGAATCTTAACTGCTAAAGGAGGAAAAAGCTGAAGTAAGCAGACCTGAGCCTCAAAGACCTGGAAGGCCTTAAAAGATGAACACAAAATTATCTGAATTGAGAATCAGGCAACTCTTAGAAGGGCTAGATCCATGCAGATCTCTGAAGTTGCCCATCCCCAGGTTCCCAAGACTCCCAGGATGTCTCACTAGCAGTTCATAGCTTGACGAAGGAGGAACTACCATCTTCCCCTTAGCTGCTGGCTGCTCAGGTACCTGGATGTCGCGCTTTGGCAACATCAGGAAAGATCTCTTTTACCTGGTAAGCAGAGGGAGACTTCTGTTGCTTAAGGAATGGATAGGTGGATGATCTAAATCCTGTTTTTGGATCTGTAAGGTATCTTTAACGTAGTCATTACCTGTTTTACAAAAATATTTTAAAATCAAGTTTACTGTCTGGCAGTCACGTAACAGACAGGTCTGGTCTCGGATGCATGAAGTAACTCAGTGGGAGAAATCCCTATTAAGTGCCCTGGACTTGGGGGCAATACGTGGCTAAAGAAAGCAAACACTTGAGAAAGCAGTGTTGATGCTCCTCTGAACGCTGCATGATCCTCCCTCTCTTCAGTGCATAATCACTGTCTCCACTGAGCCAGCGTGAGTCAAACGTGTAAACTGGATTCTTGGCTTGAGGTGTTATGTTCTGTCATTCAAATACAGGCTATGGGAAAGCAAGCTTAATATCTGGAGCTGCCCTAGCAAAAAAGGGATTGACGTAAAGGCCAACTGTTCTTGATAAGCCACCAGTAACAGGCAGATGTTAGGGCTCACTCAGGACACAACTGCATGGAGATGTTTGAGTTTTAACCATGGGATGCATTTAAGCTGGGATCACATCCATTAAGCGTGAAGTACTTTGGTTTAAACTAACTGCCCAAAGCTTTTTACACATCAAGTAAGATAGCTTAGACAGAACAGTAAGTTCAGTTACGTAAGTTTGATGCTTACAGCCATTAGATGTCATTAAAAGCAGATTTTAGAATAATTCTATGAAACCAGTGCTTCTCCATAAAACCAAGACTACTTCAGACAATTCAGCCTCTTCAGCTGAACGGCAGAACTTCGAAGCTATGCAGTACTTTTCATATGAATGACTCATGTCAGCTGCCAAATCTGTCTCCTCTCTCCATGTGAATTACTTTGCAGCCAGATGAATTTAACTCATCTGTTTAGGAAGTGTTGATTTAACATGTGGAGTTAATCATACTGTGGGGTCAGCACGTTCTCAAAAAGTAGAACAGAAACCTACAATTACATAAAAGGGAAATTGAGCTATCTGGTAATGCTTAATTAATACCCAGCTCTCGCTGCCTTGTATTTCATTCCAGAACTGAGTTCCCACAATCAAGTTCCAATCTTCACCATCTATTTTTTGCAGTTACTTTAGTTTTTCATGTGTAAATTAGAGATCCTGTTGTTTCTTTTCCCACAATCATAGCTAGTGTAAAAATTAGGCTTTTTGGTTTAACAACACTGAACAGACTTTCACTGCTCTCTGTGAGCATTTTCTGGACAGTGAGCTCAGCCAGGCCAGTCGGTGACTGCTGTTCCTCTGCTCCCAGCGTCGTTTCCACCCATGGAGTCTTTTACCTGTTCTTCTGCGCTGGTGCTGGAGGGTCGGCGAAAGCAGAAAATGATCCCCTTTTTTAGTGATGTAGTTTTTGCCATTCGGGTAAGTTCTGTCAGTTTGGAAGGGTCGGATGAGCAGCAGAGCTGACACAAGCTAGGTGGCAGAAGCAGGGCAAGGGCTAATGACCTCTACCTTTTCCCTGCAGTGATCCATTACTTTGGTGGCTCACCATTTCAAACCTATATGCTATTCCCATTTTTCAGCACATACATCTGTTAACAACCTGGATTTGTAGGCATTTAACAAATAGCAGCTTTGAGGGGAAAGAAGCGTGTGTAAGGCTTCGGCTGTTATTCAGAAGAGTGATATGGGATAGAAGGGAGAGGGGAAGACAGCACATTAGGACTGTTGGCTTAGTTATGCTCAGATGCACCTTAGTCCTCCCTCTGCAGCTGAAAAAGCTGCAGAGGGAGTTCTAATTGTGATAGGGTGTTATGTTACTACAGCTCAGCAGTAACATGAAACCAAGCCCCTAGACTTCTCCTTACAGAAATCTGCACTAGTGTGTCTCACAGCTGCTAGATATCCAGGATCTCCAGGGACTCCTGGGGCTGCAGGAGTGGCACATGGGTTTTCTGACAAGGATGGCTTTGAAGTTGCCTGGAGGAAAAACTTAAGTTTGAGGAGATGTGGTAATTTCTCTGGGAAGGCTCT